GCTCTTAGATTAGCCTTTGTTTAAAGTTTATCTAATATTGTTGCCCATGTATGTTATTTCTGGGATTGTTTTCATTATCCTTCCAAAACCCAAAACTGAGAAAAAGTCAGGGTTGGTGTTTTTTGTTTTTGTTTTTGTTTTTTCCAATTTGTTTTTAAATTTATTCAATGGCAACTAGCAAGCAGTACTAGAAAATCCTAAATTGTCTAGGGTTTTCAAGAGAGCTAAATAGTGACAATCTGAATAACAGAGTGCTTTAAGTGTCACTTCATTGCTTTAACAAATTCTGTAACATAAACACTCGAGTGACGAGGTATGCTCACTAGAGGTCTGATGGGATCAACTTTAATGAAGCAGTGTGGCCTGAGACTAATTTGGACTGTGAACATTTGCATGAAAATGGGTACAACTAAAATGACTTGAAGTGAGAGTTAAATATTCAACTCATGTTTATCGTCTTCATTCCCCGAGCGTATCATAATTTGAACAAAAAACTACCAGCCCAACCCGTGTCCACAGGTACAAAGATCCTATCAGTGGGTTTTTCAAAGGAGTTGTTATCCAGCAGAACTCTGATGGTTTAGAAGTCCCAAAGGTTTTCCATGGAATGTACACCTGCAACCACTTGATGGAGGTACTGCTGCAGTGGTGTGGGATGCCAAAACAGGGACTTTTCATCAGACTAACGCCTGATCTCCCCCATTACCAGATTTTTTAACAGCCAGTTGTTAAAGCACATCAATCATTCTACCCAAATGCCCATGCTCTGGTAGACTTCTGAATCCTTCCCAAACTGTGTTTATTTTCTCAATGGAAAATAAGTTTGTAGTTTAAGAATATTAACAGTAAAGAGGGTCAGAAGTAAACACTCCCTCTTTCTTACCAACCTTCCCTGAACTGTCCTTCCTCAAGATAACCTCTGTTAGCTGTCTGGATGTATCTCTTTACAAATGGCTCTGTATGCATTTTAAATATATGTCTGTGTCTAAACTATGATTAGCACCCCAGCATGTTTTACCAGTGGAGCTCACTCTACACATTTGCTGCGCTTCCTGTTTCCCAGGGTCATCCCGGTGGTTTGCCTCACAATCTGTCACAGAAGTTGATGTTTGTCTGTCTCCACCTTCAAAATGCAATGAAACATAAAATCCAAAAGAGCATAAATGGTATTGCTATTCATGATGTCTCAAGTAGTTTCAGAGACTGAGAAGGAAGAAGATGGTAGAAAGTAAATGTCAGCATAACTTTCTTCCTCAGGTGGTTACAGGTTCCTCATCCGGGTGCAATGCTAGGGCTTCTCATCCTCAGCACGGAACAGGCTGTCAACAGACTGAGGTCCTGCTCAGGTGTTAGAGTACAGCCAGGTGGCCCAAGATGACCTCTGGGTTTAGCATCTGGCTACCTGGAAATTTCCAGTTCTGACATTACAAGTTGTATGAGTTTATTCAATGCTCCTTTAACCTCTTAGAAATGTGTTCTCATCTGTAAAATTGAGAAAGTAGTAATATCCACTCTATATGTTTCAGAGGGTTGAAAGCCTCAAGTGAAGCTCCTTTAACCTCTTAGAAATGTGTTCTCATCTGTAAAATTGAGAAAGTAGTAATATCCACTCCATATGTTTCGGAGGGTTGTCACAAGCCCCAAGTGAAGTTGATCTCATTGTGGCAGTAAGATAATGTTACTTTGGGAGGGGACTGTTTCCCGTTGGTTGGGAGGAAAAAAGAGTCAAGATCCACTGTGATAAAGCCTAATTTGTTGTTGCTGCTGTCAGTGGCATGTAGCCACAGATGAAGAAACTGAATATACAACCATGTTATGTGGAATCAGACACCCTCAGCCTCTGGACTTAAGCTTGGGTGAGTTGGAGAGTCAGTTTTTTGCAGGTGGGAATGTCAGAGGTTCCCAGAAATCCTTGGTCATGTCAGGGAAAAGAACTGAGCCTTTGCTTGCTGGTAACAATTGGGTCTGAGGAAACAGCAGGTTATGATAATGATAGTTGTAATAGTAGGAATAATAATAATAATGGTAGACATTTATAAAAGTATAGCATGTACTATGTGCTAGACACTGTTCTGAGCACTTTACATTGATTGACACAGCAACCTCTACAAGGTGGTACTGACACCATCCCATTCGTACAGTGAAGGAAATTTAAAGCTTGGAGAGGTTAAACAAATTGCTTTGATCACATAGCTGAAAAGTGGCAGAGCCTGGATTCAAGCTCAGGAAACAAGGTTGCAGAATAGCTCGCAGTTTGTTAGTAAATTTCCAGGCCCTTGTAGAGGCATCTCTCAAGAGTCTACCCAGGTTTTTCAGCATCATAATGACTTGACATATGATGCTTGTTATGACTAGACACACAAAGACCCCCAGATCAGCTCTCCCTTAGCCCGGTGTCTGTTATCACACCCCCCTACCCACAATGCATCATCTGCCCCTAGCAGACTGGCCTCTTGTCTAGATTGTGTTCATTCTCCACCTGTGACTTAGCATGTGCTCTTCTCAGCTCTGAGAATGCCTTTCCCTCATCCTTGCTGCTCTACCTTGAGCCCTGCAAAGCCTTTTCTCACTTCTTCCTACACGATCTCTACATCCTTAGAACTCACCGAGCACCT